GCTAATGGGAATGGGATTTCTTTTGGGGTGATGAAAATGTTCTGGAATTAGATGGTTGCACAACTCTGTGAACAGACCAAAACCACTGAACTGGACACCTTATTTACTTATTTTTTTAAAAAGTTTTATTTATTTACTTATTTATTTTTTTGTTTGAGGAAGATCAGCCCTGAGCTAACATCCATGCTAATCCTCCTCTTTTTGCTGAGGAAGACCGGCTCTGAGCTAACATCTAGTGCCAATCCTCCTCCTGTTTTTTTTCCCCCCAAAGCCCCAGTAGATAGTTGTATGTCATAGCTGCACATCCTTCTAGTTGCTGTATGTGGCACACGGCCTCAGCACGGCCAGAGAAGCGGTGCGTCAGTGCGCGCCCAGGATCCGAACCCGGGTGCCAGTAGCGGAGCGCACGCACTTAACCACTAAGCCACGGGGCCAGCCTTGAACTGAACACTTTAAAAGGCTGAATTTTATGGTATGTAAATTATATCTCAATAAAAAATTTTAAAAATGGACTAGCTAAGATCCAATCCAGAAAAACAAAGGCAAAAATGCTGAGAAAAGAGAAATATCTGGAGAACATTATAGTTAGAAAAATGTCAGCTTTATCAGAAAAGATATTCATGTTTACCAGAGGGAGGGCAGAGACCTAGGGAGCAAACAAATGCAAAACTGTCTACTATAGCTAAGAATATCTTGGTTTACTATTAAAATTTATCTATTTCATTTTAAATTAAATATTTAGTTTTCAATGTGCTGTCACACACGATCTCAAGTGAAGTCTTCCTGGAAATTTTAGTTGTGTCCATTAATAATAGTTTTGAATCACATGGTGGATTCTGTTACATTTATCATATCTATTAATCTACTTCTTTGCCCAATAGTTGGGGGGTAGGAGGGATGAGGACCTCTAGCCTCAAATACCCCATTAACTTCCCCTTCTCCCTCTGCATCCGAGAAACACCTGAAGCTACCAGGATGGCAAGTCCTCCTAGGTGTAAGGAATCAAACACTCAAGCCTTCTAGGCAGAAAATCTGTTACAGAATTACCTGAGCCTCTTAGTAGAAAAGGTCTTCTGTGTATGGTTTACCAGTGTCTGTTAAGAAAGTTATAATCACTGGCTCTTTCACTAGCCCAAATACACACCAGACTCTTGCACTCACATTCACACTCATTCCCTGACACACAGAGATGATAAACTCTCAAAGCATAAAAGAAAGGGGATGAGGACTATAACAGAGAGATTCTTTAAAAAAAAAAGAATAGGGGCCGGCCCTGTGGCGTAGCAGTTAAGTGCGCGCGCTCCGCTGCTGGTGGCCGGGGTTTGGATCCCAGGCGCGCACCGATGCACCACTTGTGGGGCCATGCTGTGGCGGCGTCCCATATAAAGTAGAGGAAGATGGGCACGGATGTTAGCCTAGGGCCAGTCTTCCTCAGCAAAAAGAGGAGGATTGGCATGGATGTTGGCTCAGGGCTGATCTTCCTCACAAAAAAAGAAAAAGAAAAAAAGAATATTACTACAATAGACCCCCACCCTCCACCCCCAAACTTGAATGGAAAGAAGTAGGGAGCGTGGATTAACCAGGTTAAATTGTAGCAGGGACCTTTTTAAGAAGGACTGCACCAGCAGCCCAGAGTATGGAATTACACAACTAAAGAAGAAAAGGGTAAAAAAGCTGCTCTGGTTGAGGACGAGATGAGGGACTTCAGGACCCCAACTCTTCCGCATCTTCTCCACTCCTGTGGTTGGCTCCACTAGAGACTATTATGGAGGGAGACAGCAGGGCAGTGACAGAAGTCCATGCCATCAGATTTTATGAGCTCGTTTCAGGTTAATTCACAACTAATTAGTTAATTCACAAATTCCTACCAAGATAAACGCTGTAAGCAAGCAACTGGTGAATTGAGTAATCTCTTCTCTAGCACCTTGAAAGCTTCTAATACATGATGCATTAGGATAATCATCTTTGACTACACAGCCCACAATTTCCCTTCACAGAGAAGTTGCCCTTTCCTTTCCCTCAACCTATCAGGATGATCTCATGAGTCAGGTTTGTATGACTAACTCCAACCTCCGGGCTAAAGATGATTAGAAAAGTGGACCCTCACCTAAGCTCAACCAATCAGATCCTCTCTCCCAGAAGAACTGCAAGTGAGGTGTGCTGGTATTCTACTGATCACTTGAACTGCAAGTTGCCAAGTGTAGGACTGCCATAATCTGCTATGACCGGACAAGATCTCTGGTATTGGCTCACATAGCAGTCTCAAAAACTGAAATTGTCAAGCCTCTTAAGGTTCTAGAGGAGTTGCCTCATCAAATGACCCGATTCCCCCAAGCCTAAAAAGCAAAAGCACAAGCGTCATTAAGTACAGTGAGGATGACCTTTCCCCAAATTCCTGACCTCCAGTCCAGAAGCCGGCAGCACCAGCCAAAAGTGACCTGCTCTGATTATAGAGGCCCCTAGGGAGTGGTCCTGAATGATAATGGACAAAGATAATGGAAATCCTCCCAGTAGCAATATCAGTAGCCAAATATGTGGTGTCCAGGTCCACTAACCATTTCCTCTACCGCCAAGAAGTTAGCCAACAAACTAATGCCCATGATTTTTCCTTGTCCTTTAATTTACTATCACTCTGACCACCAGAATATATTCTGAAGCAGGGACCATTTAGAAAGCCCCAGACGTTTCTTCCCCTTTTCCTCCTTTCTAATCAGATTTTTAGTCAGTTGTCCTGTTTTCCCTCCAATATTATATGTCACATAAGAAGGATGTTGGTCATTTATCATTCAATTTAGTCCACAGATGGCCAGGAGCACACCTGGACTTGATGGAAACTGAACAGAGCAGTATAGCTCAGACTCTGAAAAGCACTGACTCTAAAGCTAGATATCTGAGGGTAAAAGTCCCAGGTCTTCCAGTCTCCAGCTGTGTGATCCAGGTCAGCTTACTTAATCTCTCTGTGCCTCAAACTTCTTCACAGAATTGTTGTGAGAACTAAATAAGTATATACGTAAAGGGCTTAGACCAGAGCCAGGCATGTAATAAGCACTATATTATAACGGATATCTGCCATTATCATTATCATGATCATCACTGTTTGCAATGGGGAGAGAGATATTGTTCATCTTTAAATGTAAAAGATGCCACTGAGCAGCTAAGGCAAAGACTGGAGCGGATAACTTCCAGTATCTACACAGCCCATACCCTCCCCTCCTCTGAAAACTCTCCCCAGTCAGTCTCTGCGGGTCACCTAATGTGAACTGTGGGGGAGGGGGCTATCCTTCTATCAAGTGCAAGGAGAAAAAAAGACAGCTGATTTATAGAAAGAGATGATGAAGCTGCCTCACAAAACAAAATGGAAGGGGCAAGAAGGAGGAAATGGGAGGGAGGGGAAGATGGGGGGTAGACAGAAAAAGAGAAAAGCTTCTTTAGTTGCCAACCACTTTCCAGTTCCTGGTTCCACTCCAACCTAAAACACTGACTGTCCTTTCTGCCCTATGCTGGTAAATAAGTTCTCCGCTTTTTATTAAGCTTTGACTAACAACATTTATAAAAGTCTCATACAAGTCTTGGAAAAGTTTTCAACAATAAAAAATCTTATGGGGGCCAGCCCTGTGGCCTAGCAGTTAAGTTCAGCATGCTCAACTTTGCCGGCCTGGATTGGTTCCCAGGAGACCTACACCACTCCTCTGCAGCCATGCTGTGGCCACGACCCACATACAAAATAGAGGAAGATTGGCACAGATGTTAGCTCAGGACTAATCTTTCTCAGCAAAAAAAAAAAATCTTAGAAGAGGAAAAGTTGTATACACCAGTTACTACACAAAAATTAAAATGATATTGCAGAGGCCCACCCCGTGGCTTAGCGGTTAAGCGGGCGCGCTCCACTACTGGCGGCCCAGGTTCAGATCCCTCCCCGGCACGCACCAACACAATGCTTGTCGGGCCATGCTGAGGTGGCGTCCCACATACAGCAACTAGAAGGATGTGCAACTATGACATACAACTATCTACTGGGGCTTTGGGGAGAAAAAAGGAAAAAAAGGAGGAAGATTGGCAATAGATGTTAGCTCAGAGCTGGTCTTCCTCAGCAAAAAGAGGAGGATTGGCATGGGTGTTAGCTCAGGGCTGATCTTCCTCACGAAAAAGAAACAAAAAAGATATTGCAGGTAAAATAAATTTAACTTCAAACTTCAGTCTTCTCAATCTATTATAAACCTAATGCATGAATTTACACAGGTAAGGCTCAGGCCTGGCTTCAAAAGCTCCACAGGTGTTAAAAGCTCTACAGCAGCGGCTCTGAGATACTAAAACCCTTACACTTATCAACATGAACACCCTTTACCTACTACCATGGTTCTCTGTTCAAACTAGTACAGGGCATAAAATGCATTAATATACTTTTCTCTTTACTGGGAATTAAGTAATTCTTTTTGAAACAGCCGGAAGGAAAATGGCAGGCATTATGCAAACTATGAAACAATCTCCCTTTAGATCAGAATCATGAATATGTTCTTCTGCTGATGTCCACCGTACCAGCCAGGTAATCAGCCAACAACCTTCCCCCCACCCCTAGCCGAAAAACAATAACAAACATACAAAACTAAATCTTTCACTGGATTCCTCTTCCCTCTTATTCTGAAAAAGTAACCCTAACATCATACGTCTATGTTGTGTAAATTGGTTGCAGTTAATTTCAAGTTCACATTCATCTCTACTTTGATTTTTTTCTCCTTAAATCAGGGTTTCCGTCCTTAAGTATCCCATTTCTGTCGCCAGTAATTCAGCGAGCCATAAAACAAATCCGGCTCGTTTATCACAGTTTTGTTTCAGTTGAGGACTCTGAAGGTTATCAGCCCGGGGAAAAATACCTCTTCCGTTCTACTCCCAGCACGCTCATTTCGAACCTCTACTATACAAAGGCATCAACAAAGTTGTGACCTTGTTCTAAGGCTAGGAAGAAAAACGTTTTTCCTCAAGAGCAAAACGAGTTCACAAACCTCCTGACAACACGGATTTCGCGGCTTTCTCCCCATGCCACTAACGAAATATCAAGGTGTAAGGCCGATTATCGAAGGCAGGGTTCCCAAAGACCACGCTTCCCTCCCAGATGTTGAGGAAGCACTGCGGGAGGAAGGGGCCTTTCTCGTGACAGATCTGACTAAACGGTAGCATCAGCCATAAGAGAGCAGAGAATTCCTAAACGCAACTTCACATTTCAGAAAACAGTCTCGCACCAAGTCAGTAGCAAGTAGACTTCGGAATCGCCGCAGACACGTACCCCCTTCGCGAAGGTGGAGGAGCAAATCCGGCTTCCCACCTCAGCCCTTAAAATAAACGGGGAAGACGGGTCCCCACCAGCCCCTCCCGAGGGCGGCCCCAGCCCTCGCGCCAGGTGTGCGAAACCCTGGCCGGACCCACCGGCCGGCTTCCCTGGGCCCCAGGCCCGCCTCCCCGTGCGGCCCGGCAGTCCTCAGCCGCCCCGCTCCCCTCCCCCGCCCGCCCCGGCGCCCGCTCGGACGCGGGCCGGGGCTCGGGGCTCCGCCAACCGGTCCCCGCGAAACAAGAAGGTGGCGGCCGGCAACGTTGCGGCTCCCCGCCGCCCCTCCCCTCCCCCGCGGCCTCCACTCTCCACTCCCGCGCCCCCGCTTACCCTCAACTCCTCGAAATCCGCCATTTTATACCACCCGCGGGCGCCGCTGCCGCCACCGCACCCCCTCCCGCTGCCGCCAACGACGCCGCCGCCACCACGGCCGCCTCCGCCGCCTCCAGCACCATCCTGCACTGGGCGCCGCTAAAGACGCCGCGGCCGCCGCCGCCGCTGCTGCCGGGCCCGTCACGTGACCGGCGCGGGAGCCCCGCCCCCGGCGCGCGCCGCCCCGCCCTCCCGGCTCCCGTCGCCCACACGCCCCGCCACCTTCCGCCCGCGTCTTCCGTCCGCGCTCCCCGCGCGAGTCGTTCGTTTCGCCTCAGCTGCCGCCCTCTGCTGTCCGCCCGCCCGCCTCCTGCCCGCCTTCCGGCGCCTGGCCCGGTCACCGTGCCCTCCTCAGCCCGGCGGGGTACCTTCCCTCCCCGGCGCCGAGAGCCGGCCCGACTCCGTGAAGCGGCGTCGCGACGGCAGCGTTACCGGCGGGCCTGAGGGAGACCCAGGCACGGGGGAGCGGCGGCGAGGAAGAAGGTGGCCGGGACCCGTGACAGGAACATTTCGGGAAAATTCTTACGGTGCCGTTCCCCACGGTGGCTGTGGACGGAGGAAGCAGCAGCGAACGAAACCGTCCCCCACAGTAGTTGTGGGAACAATCTAAATGTGGGTGTTGGGTAAGCTATTGTGCTGATCTGATGGTGCCGCCTTGGCGAGGCCTCTTTAGATTGCTGATAGCCTCGACGTCCTCACCTGGCTGATTGTGTCTGACTTGGAAGGACGACTGAACATCGCGGACTGCAGAGTTGGGGGCGGGCTGGGGGAGAACCGAAATAAGAGAGTGCTCAGAAGGGCCCTGATGAAAAGCTAGGAAAGAATGAAATGCCAACGGCAGAGAAGACCTAGGGAAGTTTGATGGCACCCCAGACGTGCTGACAAAGGATGAGGGAAGATGCTGAGTGAAGCTGCTCCAGAAATTCGCTGGACCAAGTCCAGGGTTCAGTTTCCTTGAAGAGGTGGATGGTACCCACCCACAAAAAGACTTTAAAGCACTTAATACAATTGACAAGGCCCTGTTTAATCTGGGTCCTGCTTACTGCCTCTTCCCACGCTTCCTCACTACACCAGCACTGCACTTGTTTCGGTTCCTCCATCAGACTCTCCCCACTGCCACCACTGTTGAAGACCTCTGATTGTTGATCTCTGGGCCAAGAATAATTTCCAACTCCTTCCCTCTGCCTCTCTAACTCTTCACCCTTCAGGTCTCAGTCTACGTATCACTTCTTCAGACCCCTAAACCTAGGTGCCCCGTTTCAATTCAAGTCCCTCTCCATGACTGCTTGTTGGCCCTGAACTTTTGCTTCAGAATATTTTTCCATGGTAATTATGTAGGTATTTGTGTGATTATTATATAAATAATAATTATTGTTTGAAATTTTTATCTCAAAAAATGTTTAAACCCACTACACTGTAATGACGGATAAATGCCTGCCAAGTAGTTTGGCCTCCTTTTTGTTTAATGAATGAAAGAATGAATGAACAGTATCTGCAGTAGGTTCTAATTCTGGCTCTCTATCATTAACTTTATGTCTTAGCTTGGCTTATTCTTGATCTTAGCTTATTCTCCTTAGGCCTTGGTTTCCACTTCAGTAGAGTTTAGCATTGTTCAATAGACATTAAGTGAAGGCCACTGTGGGCTAGGAGCTTTGGGGGAATATGAAGTCGAAGAGAATACAATACAGCCCTTCCACCAAGCAGCTTACGATGCATAAGAGGGACCAACATGAACACAAAACTGTAAGAGAAGCAAGGCACTACTGAGACGTGTTTGTAGTGTTCGTTGTAGGGTTGGGTAGGTTTGACTGCAAAGAGTTCTAGATGCTACCCCAGACTGGCCTAAGCCAATAATAACTAATGTGCTCCTTGCTGCGGTGATTAGATCAGACTGTACCTGTAAATCCAGCTGCTACAGGGCATTTTCAGGCCTTGCCAGTTAGATCAAGTAAGGGCCAATGCCCTAAGGTGGGTTAATCAGGTAGACCAATAAATGTTGGGGACATTTATTCAGTGATTAGAGTTGAGGAAACTTTCTAGCATGTGGAGCACTGTTGCCATTTTGCTACCAGGGGCCAGCCTGAGGACCAACCCATCTCATGGGCTAGAATCACCAAAAAATATCAGAATTAACTTTGACACCCACCCTACCTCTGTACTTGTCAGTTTTCTTGAGCCAGTACCTTTCCTTTACTGTTTTAGATAGTTTGAGATGGGTTTTCTATCAGTTGCCACCGAAAGAATTTGGAAATAGGATGCTGCTTTGTCTTCCCAGGCCAGATTACTAATTTGGCATCTTTTCTAAACTATACTCCCTAGTATTCATTCAATATTTGTTTAAAGGAAAGGCTGAGTGGGAAAGGGTGGAAAGGATGCCTTTCTTTTTTCTGTCATGAGCAGTTCAGCTTTGATCCAAATTTGTATATCCTACTCATCAAAAAGAAATCTCTGCTCTTACTTGGATCTAACGTCCTTAGAAAGTGACATAACATCCTTGGAGGGGAGAGAGGAAGGAGGGAGGTAGGGTAGTCTCACCACCACTGTACGCCATATACCAAAGTACCACTCCAGCCACATGCAGAACTGTTCCCCCAGAGGAATTCTTTAAATACAATTTTATCCTCATTACATTTTCAGCGATAAAATGTGTTAACATTCTTTATGGATTGAGGTTCTAGGCAATTACCTGGCTGGGCCACCACCTTAATCTGGCTCCAATTAAAAAACTTGATATTAAGTATTGTAATTAAAGTGTCCTGAGATTACATTACATGGAGCCAAGAGTCTCAGGAGTGGCTTTTCCACTTATCAGCTGTGTAACTTTAGCAAAATCTCAACCTAAGGCCCTGCTGGTGGCAGAGTGGTTCAAGTTACACATGCTCGGCTTTGGCAGACCCGCTCCGCTCACCTCACCAGCCATGCTGTGGAGGTGTCCCTCATACAAAATGGAGGAAAATGTACTATATAAACTTACAAAGTGATAGATGATAAATTCTTTTAAATCTAAATAGCTGATAAACACCAAAAAAAGTATTAAGCACTCATATATACATGTGATATATCCTAGTATCTTTAGAAAAGAGTTTTCAACCTAGTTGGACCATGCATGAAATATTGAGTTTAGTTCCAAGCCCCTGTCTTGTTACTCCTTTCCCTTCCTATCTCTGAACCCATCAGTTCTCCCTGATCTCACTCACTCTCTTTTCCTTGCCCATGATTTCCTCCTCTTACCCTATAACTGTTCAAGCTTCCTAGATAATTTCAAGCCACCTTTCTTCTTATGCCAAGCATACATCTATTTTAATCACATTTCTTCACTCCTTTACACTTTGCAGATAGTGTTTGGCCTTAACCTTTACCAAAACTAGTATCAAGGAAACTGAACAATGAATTTATCTTTTAATTTTATATCCCCAACTTTTTATTCTGAGATTTAAGAAAAATCAAAGTTGAAAGCATAATACAATAAACATCTGTATACACTCCAACTAGATTTAACAATCATTAATATTTGAACAATATTTTTATTAAGGTATAATTTACATATAGTGAAATCCTCATATCTGAAGTAAACTCAATTAGTTTTGAAAAATGCTTATCAAGATACAGAACATTTCCGTCACCCCAGAAAGTTCCCTATTGCCACTTCCCAGTCAAACTTTCCACCAGAAACAACCAATGATGTGATTTCTAATACTATAGAGAGAATTTTAAAATGAAGGAACAGGGGCCGGCCCCGTGGCTTAGCAGTTAAGTGCACACAATCCGCTACTGGCAGCCCGGGTTTGGATCCCAGGCACACAACGACGCACTGCTTGTCCAGCCATGCTGAGGCAGCGTCCCACATACAGCAACTAGCAGGATGCGCAACTACAACATACAACTGTCTACTGGGGCTTTGGGGAGAAAAAGAGGAACAAAAGGAGAAAGATTGGCAATAGATGTTAGCTCAGGGCCAGTCTTCCTCAGCAAAAAGAGGAGGATTGGCATGGATATTAGCTCAGGGCTGATCTTCCTCACCAAAAAATAAATAAAGAAATTTTTTTTAAAAAGCATTTTCTTTAAAAAAATAAAAATAAATAAAAAATAAAATGAAGGAACATTCTCTACTAATTTTTAAATGTTATTATAACTTGGATGCCAAAACCAGACAAAAATTGTTAGATCAATAGGAAAAAAAAGTTTTCCTGTCTAACTTATAAGCAGATCTAACCCTAGTAATGCAAGGATGTTTTCACACTAGCACATGTGTTAAACAACTTGGTAATTTGATCCAACTCTGAGAACCACCAAAAAAATTTGGATTAGAAAATCAGAAGCAAATGCCTCATATGAGGAATTATCCAGCCAAAATCTTAGAAAGTAGTATTCCAGGCAGTTAAGCCAAACGTTTGTCCTGAAGGTATTTGACAATCCAAAAGTAAAATCTATAAACTGAGCTATGAATTTTGCAAGATTGCTGAGCAACAGAGAAATAAATCTAGTGCCACAGAAGATAGAAAGTCTAATAAACACCCCCATGTTTAATACAAAATCTCATACGATAAAGATAAACTGGAAA